AATGCTTACCCGGTATGGACTAAGGGCGGACGTGGGCGACAGGTAGACCTACATTGTATCTGTACCCAAACCAAAATTTCGCTGTGCAGAGTTACACCCCTTTGTTGTGCTTGTCGTGGGTTTGAATCCCAGATTCACCCACATTATAAATCTTGGTCCGTCAACACCGTACCCATGCGCTTGGGTTTCAGCAAAGTAGTAAACTTCTCCATCCCACAATACGCTGACACACTTTTATATTATTAAAATACAATTTTGTTGTGTTTTTCTTCCGTCCCTCCACATATGTGTTTCAGTCTAGTAATGGTGTCTGTAGTGTTACGCAAAACGAATTTTAGCAGCAAGTAGTAACACACTGGCAAATAAGTATGTCACAGATGTCTAATGAGCTCCACTGTTACATTGATGTTTCTGGCTCACCGTAGATTGGAAACAAAGCTAACATTAATAGCACGCTGTTTACTTCTCACAAGAAGACGTCATTAAGCCAGCCTAACCAGGCTGTACTGTTACAAATTGAATTTTTATCAATATGTCATTACTTGGCAGAGAACGTTTCAGACAATGCAATTAGGAACATGTCATCCATACTATTCGCCCAACTGGTAAGACCCGCCTGAGCTGGGCTCAGTTCATAAGATGAATCCTGATATACCCAGATACAGTGTACATGGACCCGTGAAGATTCCGGGGTAGAATAGATCTTCAGCAACCCATGCTTGCCGTAAAAGGTGACTATGCTTGTCGTAAAAGGCGACTAACGGGATCGGGTGGTCAGGCTCGCTGACTTGGTTGATGCATGTCATCGATCCCAATTGCGTGGATCGATTGTCATTATATTAATCGCTGGATTGTCTGGTCCAGACTCGATTATTTACAGACCGCCGTCATATAGCTGGAATATTGCTGAGTGCGGCGTAAACAACAAACCAACCAACCAACCAGTGAACATGAGGAGTTCTGATGGTACAGATGGTACGGTTATCCCTGTTCGTTTAATTATAATTTAATATTTTGTTTTACGCCCCACTTATCAATATTCCAGATATATGACGGCGACCTGTAAATAGTCGCGTCAGGACCAGACAATCCACTGATCTACGATCTACGCAATAGGGTGACGGATGCACGCAGCCAACCAAGTTGGTTGGTTGGTTTGTTGTCTGACGCCGCACTCAGCAATATTCCAGCTATATGACGGCGGTCTGTAAATAACTGAGTCTGGACCAGACAATCCAATGATTGACATCATGAGCATCGATCCTCGCAATGTGGGATCGATGACATGCATCGACCAAGTCAGCGAGCCTGACCACCCGATCCCGTTAGTCGCCTTTTACTACAGACATAGTCGCGTTTTACGGCAACCATGGATTGCTGAAGATCTATTCCACCCCGGATCTTCACAAGTCCAGCCAACCAAGTGACCAAGCCTGACCACCGGATCCGTTACGTCGCCCCTTACGACCAGTCTAGGCTCCTGGGGACCTATTCTAACCGGGGATCACCAGTTGGATCATTTTCTTATAAATAAGAATTCACTGCTGAAAGCAGAAATATTGTACGATTCAAGCCATATCGCACGCGTCTGTATATAATTCATTATCACTATCACTATGATACCAGGTGTTCGCGAAAAGGTGAGCGAATCTTGTGCGCTCATAGCCAAATAACAAATTGTGTATACCACCCATATAGATGTTGGAAAATATAAATAATTGAAATATGGGTAGTACTGTATATACATGTATATACCTTTTGCTGAAATGGAGGCAAGGGTTGCCCAGTCGTCTCGGATGCGGCAATTCGCTGTGCAGAGTTGCGCCCCTTAGGTGTGCCAGAAACCGGTGTTCGTGGGTGTGAATCTCAGATTCGCCCTGATTATGTTTCTAGGTATGTCAGCACCTTCCGCATGATCGTGTGTGTAACTAAAGTGGTAACGTCTAAGACCTGCATCATTTCGGGATTTCCTCCAACATCAATCTGACACACACGTAAGAGGTTACTAACGGGATCGGGTGATCAAGCTCGCTGACTTGGTTGATGCATGTCATCGTATCCCGGTTGCGTGGATGGATGCTCATGATGGCAATCACTGGATGTCTGTTCCAGACTAGATTATTTATAGACCGCCGTCATATAGATGGAATATTGAGTGCGGCGTAAAACAACAAACAAACAAACAAAAGATTAACAACATATGTACGTTGTATATTGTTGGCTATGCCCCCTTGGTTTCCCATGCTCATGAGACATGGCAAATTGCAGACAAATTAAGTGAAAGCCCAGATAAGGCTGACTTATTTCCGGCGGTAGTCTTTTCGTACGGAGAGAGACGACAGCTGCCGAAAGACAACGACTGGTGTTGTTATATTACACAACGCAAATTCTGCAATATGTCACCATGAATTTGCCAGCTCAGCGCCATTCGTATCGCCGCGAGGCACAACGTCGTCGTGAGGATTATCCAAGTTATCTCGTGGCATCTAGACAGTTTGGGTCATGGCGGGTGCACCGGTGAGAAATGGCGGAAATATTACACGACCAGAATATGCGCATGAGCGGCTGAATCACTGAGGGGGTATGCCGCGTTGGCTTTTTGAGCAATCTTACAGTCAACGTATATCATGGCGGTTACAAAACATAGCTTCACAGAAAGCAGCATTGTGGATTGAATTATTTAGCGAACTAACAGTTAATCACAATAAACCAATACACGTCTCATTTATGCTAAAAACATTTTATAAATATATTGATGTTTATTGCTCGTGTACAAGTTTACTTATTGACAATGAAAGGGTAAACATTAAATTCCCCTTGTATCGGGATTTTTTGACAATTGTAAACGTTTTTGTAGAAGGGCGAAGAGACTTCAATAGGATTTCAAGGGGTGGATTGGAAGATTTCTTAAGTGAGTAGTTTGTTCAGAAATATGCCCAAAATGAATATTTTTGGGGCAGTGGTAAAAAATGAATATATTTGTTTGTTGGATACAGATAGGGAAAAAATAGCTTGTTCAAAAAAACAATGACACCACAACCACCCTCCCCCCACACAACAAATGGATATGCTCCTTTACTATAATAAAGTAAATGGCCATGTACGCCTTAACCCCAATGTATATATCCTACACTTAATCACCAATGTGTACATACTGGATACTGGATGTGTATATTATTGATATGGAGAAGAAAGATACTCTCGTAAATATGTAAACGTGAAAGCGCCAGTCATAGATACCTTGTCGACAGATCAGCTATTCCTGTCTCTGCCCTCCGGCACTGGTAAGGCTTCCTGTAACTGACATTTTTACTCTAAACTAAGAATAAAACTATGACGTCATTCATTGGCCCCATATGGATAATCAAGAGGTTATTGTGATATGACTTGGGTAATATTTGGCCTGGGCAGGTGTAGGGTTTTCTTTAGTGGGTCGAATTGGTTCGGATTGTAAAGGTTTCATGTAGTCTGTACTCGGTTGAATGATTCTTTGTAAGAATTGTTTAAAGCGTAGGCTTAAAAAAACATGCCTGTCGGACAAGATCACTGAGAAGAAGACAGATAGATACGACTGGGCATGGAGTGATACGTTACGAAGGCTCAGTTTAACATGCCTGGATTCGGCTACTGTCGAGTCGAAAGGACATGAATTGATTCTGACATTATAAAACACCTAAACTGGCTCAAGGATATAGGTAAAAGCTCACAAGACGTGCAATTACACGAACCGGAACGATAACGCAGAGGGCTCTTCAAGACACGTGCGTTAACAGTAGCAATGCTGTAAGCTCTCAAAGACATTATAGTTAGCACTGTGTCCGTAATGGTGTCATTTTACGCTCTTTAAACAATGTATGTTAACGCTCACTGTATGTAAACGCTCACTGTTGCACCCGTGAAGATACGGGATAGAATAGGTCTCCAGCAACCCATGCTTGCCGTAAATGGCGACTATCCTTGTCGTAAAAGGCGACTAACGGGATCGGGTGGTCAGGCTCGCTGACTTGGTTGATGCACGATCATCGATCCCAAATGCGTGGATCGATGCTCATGATATCAATCACTGGATTGTCTGGTACAGACTCGATTATTTACAGACCGCCGTCATATAGCTGGAATATTGCTGAGTGCGGCGTTAAACAACAAACCAACCAAACCAACCAACGCTCACTGTTGCAATGATGACATTGAAAGCTATTCAAAAACGTATATGTCAGTATTAAATGTCGCAATGACATCGTCGCAGGCTCTTCAAAAAACGTATATTAACTCTTACTGTCGTAATGATATGATTAAGCTAGCGCTGGACTGCTAGATGCCGGTTCTCGTGTACAACTCCCATTTCAACATATCAGCCTTCTTTGTCAAGACATGCACTAGTGATTTTCCCATTACAAAATGATAATTGCACAACACTCTGCATGCCATATTTTATCAAAAAAAGTAATACCATGACACATTGGTTGATGTCGATGTGTAACATCCGCTTGATAATGAGGACAAAATACAATTTGCAGAAAAGAGATCATATTTTGAATTCGGCCACGAAACGAGGCGTTATCCAACAACAATGAAACATATAGCCCAGCACAGCTCGATATTGTTGAGACCAAGCCAGCGTGTCAACTCATGTGTTGTTTCCACGATTCAATCAACTAAGTGACCCATGCTGTGTATATGAGAATAAACAAGTATAAAGTTCAATAACCATAGCAATACGCACGAGCGATGTTGATATCACGTAAAACATGGAAACGAATCTGGAATACATATACGTACATAATTCTCAAGATCTGTATGTGATTTGACACACGTGCTTCACAAATAACATAGCCTAATATAACAGAAGGTTTAACATCAGGCAACAATTAAAAGCGTGTCGTATAACACTGAGACACACTCAACATGTACACACACCTGTGTACTGACGATTACATAAACATGAAGCATAGTTATTGATAAATATATGTGTATTATATTATACAACAATGTTAACATACCTGTATGATTTCATTCAGATTTCGAACGACGAAGGGCACAGGGTAACTGTTCCAAGAAAGTCTTTGCCTCGGATCCAGGTTATGACCTGTGAGCTTTATCACTCAGTTGACATCAGACAGGGCGTTTGCTTCCCCGAGTTATAAATTTCACTGTTTGCATTTGTCCTTCTTGGGCCTGTGTATATGGGCCGCGTCCTAAATTCTCACCGCAGAAAACAGATCCGATCGACCCCTCGTGCACACCCGACACACCTTTGCCTGGCCCGGGAAACGGAAGGGAATCACGCGACCACAAAAAAAGCCGGATACCCTTTTGGGTTATAACAATTTTAGAAACGCAGTCATGCATCAAATACTACCCTACACATATATATACACTACATGGCATAGTCGTAAACCACGGTGTAATGTTTACATGGGCTCCAAGACCACATCAGTTATCTCCCTTATGTACTAATACATACTTATCGCTTGTCTCCTTGTTCATTTAGGTTCTGCATCGGCCTCGGTCACCTGATATGACGTCATGAGATTTTACGTAGTCAAGAGCGCGGCTGTATATATGGGTCATTGTTACGCTTCGGGTGACCATGTCACGGACAAAACGAAATATCAGAAAAGGACCGGCGTTGCCTGTCAGAAGGAGTGTAGCGTGACCACCGCCAGTTGTCACGCGAGCAGACGACACTTGAGAGCAGCATGAATAGGGGTAGTCAACAGATGTTTATGTTGATTACAAATGGTATAGAATTTGCTCACATTGAGATTTGCTGCCGAGATCGTGTGTTTAAGAACTTCAATTGCTGGCGTGTGTTTTGCTTAGGTTGCACCAGTTTCTCAGTATATACGATACTTGGGAAATCAATAATTCATTGAGGTTGCGAGAAAGCAATATGTCTGAAATCGCGTGCAGTCTAAGGGAATCGCGATGTAATTCAAGTACCTTACCTCGGAAAAGAGAAATATAACCAATTGTGAAGGTTCAATTCAATCCGATAAGGCTGTACTAAAGATAATTATATTCTTTCTTCATAATGGTATCACTAATCTCATCTTGTGATGTAATCAGGTGGTATTTGTGTTCTGCCTATGATCGAAGATTTCCCTTCGTAAATCCATAATGAATGAAAAACTTACGTCAAACAAAGATGAGCCCTAAACTAAAACGTCAAGAGGAAAGAGCATTCCGAATGTTATTTTACGCCGTCACTTTACTTCAGCTGTATTACGGCGGGTCAGGGAAACCAGTGGTCGACATCATGAGCAGTGACCAAGGCCACCACCCCCCTACCCCCACCCCACCCCACCCCGAACATCGATCCACGCAATTGGGATACTATGACTTGCACCACCCGATCCCGTTAGTCGCCTCTTATGACAACCATAGTCGCCTTTTAGGGCAGGCATGGGTTGTTGAAGACCTATTCTACCCCGGATCTTCACGGGTATTCAACCTTTTGAAAACCACTGCGGATACAATGCAGCAGATAGGCCAACATATACAATCAGGCCCCGAAAATGTATCAGATATACTGAAATCATTCTATAAGGGAACCCTAGCCTATGAAGGAACTTTCGAGTCAGATACAGAATGGGATGCTAGAGCTGAAACGTGAATGAGAGTGGGTCGGGTGATAGAAATGAGAACAGGTTGATAGAGATGATAATGATATGATAGATCTGAGAATGGGATGCTGGAGCTGAGAAGGAGGCGAGTGGGTGTTAGAGATGAGAATGCGGTGACAGTGATAAGAATGGGATGGCAAAGATGAGAATGGGATGCTGGGTTGAGGAGGTGAGACTTGGATCCTAGAGCTAAAACTGGGATGCAAGAGTTGAGAATGGGAAGTTAGTGCTGAGAAGTGGATGAGAATTGAATGCTAGAGCTGAGAACGGGAAGTTAGTGCTGAGAAGTGGATGAGAATTGAATGCTAGAGCTGAGAATGGGAAGTTAGTGCTGAGAAGTGGATGAGAATTGAATGCTAGAGCTGAGAATGGGAACTTAGTGCTGAGAAGTGGATGAGAATTGAATGCTAGAGCTGAGAATGGGAACTTAGTGCTGAGAAGTGGATGAGAATTGAATGCTAGAGCTGAGAATGGGAACTTAGTGCTGAGAAGTGGATGAGAATTGAATGCTAGAGCTGAGAATGGGAACGTAGTGCTGAGAAGTGGATGAGAATTGAATGCTAGAGCTGAGAACGGGAAGTTAGTGCTGAGAAGTGAATGAGAATTGAATGCTAGAGCTGAGAATGGGAACTTAGTGCTGAGAAGTGGATGAGAATTGAATGCTGGAGCTGAGAATGGGAAGTTAGTGCTGAGAAGTGGATGAGAATTGAATGCTAGAGCTGAGAATGGGAACTTAATGCTGAGAAGTGGATGAGAATTGAATGCTGGAGCTGAGAATGGGAACTTAGTGCTGAGAAGTGGATGAGAATTGAATGCTAGGGCTGAGAATGGGAACTTAGTGCTGAGAAGTGGATGAGAATTGAATGCTAGAGCTGAGAACGGGAACTTAGTGCTGAGAAGTGGATGAGAATTGAATGCTGGAGCTGAGAATGGGAAGTTAGTGCTGAGAAGTGGATGAGAATTGAATGCTAGAGCTGAGAATGGGAACTTAGTGCTGAGAAGTGGATGAGAATTGAATGCTGGAGCTGAGAATGGGAAGTTAGTGCTGAGAAGTGGATGAGAATTGAATGCTAGAGCTGAGAATGGGAACTTAGTGCTGAGAAGTGGATGAGAATTGAATGCTGGAGCTGAGAATGGGAACTTAGTGCTGAGAAGTGGATGAGAATTGAATGCTAGAGCTGAGAATGGGAACTTAGTGCTGAGAAGTGGATGAGAATTGAATGCTAGGGCTGAGAATGGGAACTTAGTGCTGAGAAGTGGATGAGAATTGAATGCTAGAGCTGAGAACGGGAAGTTAGAGCTAAGGATTGGAAGAGGAGAATGGGACGCTGGAGCTGTGAAGTGGATGTGAATGGAGTTGGGTGATCGAACATTAAACATATGCTCTAGGGTCTATAAGAGAGACTGTATGGCCGGTTGTATAAGAACATTATCATCACTTTATAAGCTCCATCTACCAGTACCCCACATTATTCTGGCGCGCAGTGGTATAACTGAAATACAGATAAAAGCGTTAAATCCAACTAACTCATTGTGGTCTTTCCCGTGGGACAGGGAAACAGAATACAGATATGTAGGCACCTGACACCCTTTCTAGGTATCCAATTGCTATCCCCGTAGCTCTTTTGGATGAGAGTGGTCGGGGAAATTTGGATCAAACCGTTAGCTCGTCATGTTAAAGACCCCGGCACATGATGCGAAACCAATTCCTTATGTCTTCCCCAAGACTAACATCTAGTCTCTGAAATGAACTGTTTTACAGAAACAAAACCAGTTATTAAATTATAGTTATAAAATATAATTAAAAAGGAGCCAAAAACCTTTCTTCGTCCCGATACTGCAGTAATCTAGACTTGCCAAATAATATAAACTTGCATGGGATATCGGATATATTTGTCTCAGGGTCTGTATGACAGACTCGCCCTCCCCGTGAAACTGCTGGACCAAATGCGACGTACAATCACTCGCTAACTAAGTTATGCGGTTGAGGTAAGACAGTTACTGTGTTTAGTTGACACGTTTACAAGCTGATCAGAAACAAGGGCTTTAAGACAGATCGAGTAATGGAGCACCTTTCAATACCAAATGTCCTCAATAGCTCGTTGCCCCGTTCCCCAAAGTCCACTGTGACCACTACGTATACGTAGCCCCGATGTTGCTTGGTGGAGCGTGGCCCTGACATGACTCAACATGACTGTTCTTATTATAGCTGAATGGGACAGCGTACTTCCTGCTTGGTCCGTAGTCGACCGCGAGGACATCCGTCCTCATGCCTTTAGGTGACTGGCCCATACGGTATGCACGGAGAGCAAGAGTTGAAGTAGTCCTTTTGTCAAACTTATTTTTGAAAACAATATTTAGAAGAACATTAGGCCCAAAAATAGAATTATGTTTTTTGGCGTTTTGTTTCCCCTAAATGCCGCGAATTTCCCTTAACAAACCAATTTGCATGATTCACTAACAGTCGGTGCAACTTTCCCAATGCGTCCAGCCTCTATTTTCTGCTCTTTTTAGGGAAACAATTTGTATGTCGATTTTTTTCTGTTAAGGTTATGTGAGATTGTATATAATGAAATGTAATCTGCTCCAGTCTTGGGTGGCCCATTCCTCCAGGGCATCAATTGTAGAGTCTGTGTAGAGTTGCGTCCCTTAGGCGTGTCAGAACCCAACTGACGTCGGTACATGTCCTGTATTTGCTCTGATTACTATTCAGTAATAATTGTCTAATACCAGAGATCGTGGGTAAAACACACGGGGTAAAACACACGTGTACACTCGGCTTGTACCATTCCCTAGATAGCACCTTGGCCTTAACTGTAAACTTCATACCAACCGACCCCTCCACATATAGTTCGTGCAACATGACGGTCGATTTTCAGTCAGAAAGTATGATTAATAAAAATAGGTGTAAAATTACAACTTGATACATTTACATCCAGGCCAGACCGGGAAGATCCGGGATAGAATAAGTCTTCAGCAACCCATGCTTGCCGTAAAAAGCGACTATGCTTGTCGTAAGAGGCGACTAACGAGATCGGGTGGTCAGGCTCGCTGACTTGGTTGATGCATGGCATCGTATCCCAATTGCGTAGATCGATGCTCATGATGTCGATCACTGGATTGTCTGGAATATTGCTTAGTGCGGCGTTAAACAATAAACAAACAAACACCAAGGCCACGACTGCTGCCAGTGTATTGTGTAATATGAAAGTTACGTGAACAAGTGAAACTAGGGAACCAAGTTCTGGTATGGACCTATGAGATTGAGATGAGCCAAACTGGATGGTAAACGTCCTGCATCACTTCAGACTTTTCTCCCACATGCTCAAACCCAACTCACTCACATACTCAATGAAGTACAGGTCTTGTGTAGTTGGCGCCTGTTATATATCAGTCATGATGCGTTCCTTCTTCATAGGAGCGATGAAGCATGTGTGCAGTAAAACAGCGTGAACAATGGGCGGCGTATATCATACGGTGTATTGGGAAGTTATATTTAGTTTACGAATCATGCGGTTGAGTATGTATATGAATGAGTGACTGAGCAACATTAAACAATATTCCACCTATATCACGCCTCACTCCTTCCAAGAGTTCCGTGCGGCCTCTGTCACAGGCCAGCACGATTTTACGATTCGTCAGGTCTCACACAGTCCATTCAAGATATCATCTGTTTCATTTTTGACAAGTCTACACATATCGATAGACAAATGTCATAGAATGGTTAACTTTTATTAAGAAAATATCCTAAAACGTGGAAAACTATTTCCATGTTCGTAGTTATGTTTGTTTACATTGGTTGTACGGCTCCACGTGCAGTCATCGATGCCCAACGGAGAGCTAGCGATACGGCCACTTTGATGTATAATTGTATATTACCATGAACCTCACTGTCTTAATAGCATATCTATATAACTATGCAGAATAACATCAAAGGCTCACCGAGAGGCTTGCATTAGGCCAGTCTGTTCTGATTTCAGAATAAGCGCGTTTGTTTACA